CCGGTTACATCACTGACAATTACTAGCAGGACCTCACTCATCAGCACCATGACGTCCTCGTCCGGTTACATCACTGACAATTACTAGCAGGACCTCACTCATCAGCACCATGACGTCCTCGTCCGGTTACATCACTGACAATTACTAGCAGGACCTCCCTCATCAGCACCATGACGTCCTCGTCCGGTTACATCACTGACAATTACTAGCAGGACCTCACTCATCAGCACCATGACGTCGTCCCCCGGGTACATCACTGACAATTACTAGCAGGACCTCACTCATCAGCACCATAACGTCCTTGTCCGGTTACATCACTGACATTTACTAGCAGGGCCTCACTCATCAGCACCATAACGTACTCGTCCGGTTACATCACTGACTGACTAGCATGACCACACTCATCAGCACCATGACGTCCTCGTCCGGTTACATCACCGACTGACTAGCATGACCACACTCATCAGCACCATGACTTTCTCGTCCACTTAGAGCACCAAACAGCATAAATGCATGTTATGGAACGCGGAAGACGAATGTTTGGATAAATCTAAAATGTTCCTGCCCGGGCTTTTCTGGTGAGAACTACACACGATTTTTTTGTGTTTTATTTTCTATTGGTTACCTACTTTAGCGCTGGTTTGGATTTTGTTGATTACATGGACTTTTGTTGTTTACATATCCAAGCCGCGATTCAAAATTGAGATTCATCTCTTTAACTTCGTTAATTTACTCCTTTGGGTTCTACTTGTATTCTACTTTGTGGATGACTGAGATATGTAATCGACAAGATGAAACACAACAAACCTGGGAGTTTTTTTCACCAGTCGGGTCTGTCTTTACATCTATACATGGTACATTGTAGTATGTATATCCAGTTGAGTTTAACAGATCGTTTATGGCGAGGTCGGAGAGAGATGACACTAATAGTTAACGGGAGAGTAACAGTTAATTGTTCTGTCTGGATAAACTACCGTAGTCGATTGTTTAAATCAGTATATTATGTGGGAATCTGGGAAACCTATTTAGCTCTCCCTACATTTAAAGAGTATTCATATATTAATCAAATAAAAAAAAAACTGTCAAATTAACGTTTCACATGTGATCGAGAGCAGAATGATCACACAGCCAGAGAGAGCTAGGGACAGGACAAAACACAGGACAACTCGCTCTACAATGTAGAGATGGTGCGGTATGCAAACTGGAATGACAGATTTGACTGGTAGCAAGCACAGGGGCGTGGCACAGATCGCCAACCCCACGGTCCTTATATATGATTATCATCACGATACATAACACAAATGTGTCACGCCCCTGTGCTGGCAACACCAAATACGTTTCTGATGTGTTCCTACTCTAATTGACAAATTATAATTGAGCCCCAAAAAATAAGTTTCACACGAACATATTTGCTTAGATTTACAGTAAACAGTGAACCGGAGAGGTATAATATACTATAGGTCTGACTGTTGTACGTTATAATTGAATAAACAGTGCACTATAAGGAACAATATCGAGGAACATAATAAGACAAACACGTACAGTCGTACATCTAAATGTTATGTCTACTTAGACTCGCCTCACTGGATCATAAAGTACAGATAAATTAGCTAATTCACCCACTGTGATTAAACTATTTTGTATATAGCAAGTTCATTTCTGATGAAAAGTAAGGGACAACGCAACCTTCAAAATGTGTGTGTCCTTATTACCTTTACTTCATGTTGTTATTGTATCCCCGTGTATTGTATCCCCGTGTATTGTATCCCCATGTATTGTATACCCGTGTATTGTATACCCGTGTACTGTATCCCCTTTTAATGTATACCCGTGTATTGTATCCCCGTGTATTGTATCCCCGTGTATTGTATACCCGTGTATTGTATACCCGTGTATTGTATCCCCGTTTAATCGTGCTATGTTCTTCACAGTCTATGGTATCTCCATGTAATCGTGATTTGTTCCCCACAGTTTATTGTATCCCCGTGTAATCATGTAATCGTGATTTGTTCCCCACAGTTTATTGTATCCCCGTGTAATCGTGCACTGTTCTTCACAGTTAACTGTATCCCCGTGTAATCGTGCACTGTTCTTCACAGTCTATGGTATCTCCGTGTAATCGTGATTTGTTCCCCACAGTTTATTGTATCCCCGTGTAATCGGGCTTTGTTCTCCACAGTATATTGTATTTCCGTGTATTGTATCCCCATGTAATCGTGCTTTGTTCTCCACAATTCATGGTATCCCCGTGTAATCGTGTTTTGTTCTCCACAGTCTATTGTATCATCGTGTAATCGTGCTTTTTCTCCACAGTTTATTGTATCCTCGTATATTGTATCCCCGTGTAATCGACTTTGTTCTCCACACATCATTGTATCCCCCAGTAATCGTGTTTTGTTCTCCACAGTTTATTGTATCCCCGTGTAATTGTGCTCTGTTCTCCACAGTTTATTGTATCCCCATGTAATCGTGCTCTGTTCCCCACAGTTTATTGTATCCCCGTGTAATCGTGCTCTGTTCTCCACAGTATATTGTATCCTCGTGTAATCGTGCTTTGTCCTCCACAGTTTATTGTATCTCCGTGTAATCGTGCTCTGTTCTCCACATTTTATTGTATCCCCGAGTAATCGTGATTTGTTCTCCACAGTTTATTGTATGTCCGTGTAATCGTGTTTTGTTCTCCACAGTCTATGGTGTCATCGTGTAATCGTGCTTTTTCTCCACAGTTTATTGTATCCTCGTATAATCGTGTTTTGTACTCCACAGTTCATTGTATCCCCGAGTAATCGTGCTTTGTTCTCCATTCTCCACAGTTTATTTTATCCTCGTATAATCGTGTTTTGTTTTCCACAGTCTATGGTGTCATCGTGTAATCGTGCTTTGTTCTCCATTCTCCACAGTTTATTTTATCCCCATGTAATCGTGTTCTGTTCTCCACAGTTTATTGTATCTCCCTGTAATCGTGCTATGTTCTCCACAGTATATTGTATCCCCGTGTAATCGTGCTTTGTTCTCCACAGTTTATTTTATCCCCGTGTAATCGGGCTATGTTCTCCACAATTCATGGTATCCCCGTGTAATCGTGTTATGTTCTCCACATTCTATTGTATCATCGTGTAATCGTGCTTTTTCTCCACAGTTTATTGTATCCTCGTATATTGTATACCCGTGTAATCGACTTTATTCTCCACACATCATTGTATCCCCGAGTAATCGGCCTTTGTTCTCCACAGTTTATTGTATCCCCCATGTAATCGTGCTCTGTCCTCCACAGTTTATTGTATCCCCGTGTAATCGTGATTTGTTCTCCACAGTTTATTGTATCCCCGTGTAATCGTGTTTTGTTCTCCACAGTCTCTTGTATCATCGTGTAATCGTGCTTTTTCTCTAAAGTTTATTGTATCCTCGTATATTGTATACCCGTGTAATCGACTTTGTTCTCCACACATCATTGTATCCCCGGGTAATCGTGTTTTGTTCTCCACAGTTTACTGTATCCCCGTGTAATCGGCCTTTGTCCTCCACAGTTTATTGTATCCCCGTGTAGTCGTGCTCTGTTCTCCACAGTTTATTGTATCCCCGTGAAATCGTGCTATGTTCTCCACAGTTTATTGTATCGTCGTGTAATCGTGCTTTTTCTCCACAGTTTATTTTATCTCCGTGTAATTGGGCGTTGTTCTCCACAGTTTATTGTATCCCCCATGTAATCGTGCTCTGTCCTCCACAGTTTATTGTATCCCCGTGTAATAGTGCTTTGTTCTCCATAGTTTAGTTTATCCCCGTGTAATCGTGCTTTGTTCTCCACAGTTTATTTTATCCCCGTGTAATCGTGCTTTGTTCTCCATAGTTTAGTTTATCCCCGTGTAATCGTGTTTTGTTCTACACAGTCTATGGTATCATCGTGTAATCGTGCTTTTTCTCCACAGTTTATTGTATCCTCGTATATTGTATCCCCGTGTAATCGACTTTGTTCTCCACACATCATTTTATCCCCGTGTAATCGTGCTTTGTTCTCCACAGTATATTTTATCCCCGTGTAATCGTGCTTTGTTCTTCACAGTTTATTGTATATCCGTGTAATCGTGCTATGTTCTCCACAGTTTATTGTATACCAGTGTAATCGTGCTTTGTTCTCCACAGTTTATTTTATCCCCTTGTATTCGTGCTATGTTCTCCACAGTTTATTGTATCGTCGTGTAATCGTGCTTTTTCTCCACAGTTTATTTTATCTCCGTGTAATTGGGCTTTGTTCTCCACAGTTTATTGTATCCCCGTGTAATCGTACTATGTTCTCCACATGTTATTGTATCACCGTGTAAACGTGCTATTTTCTCCACAGTTTATTGTATCGTCGTGTAATCGTGCTTTGTTCTCAACAGTTTATTTTAACCCCTTGTAATCGTGCTATGTTCTCCACAGTTAATTGTATCCCCGTGTAATCGTGCTTTGTTCTCCACAGTTTATTGTATCTCCGTGTAATCGTGCTTTGTTCTCCACAGTTTATTGTATCCCCGAGTAATCGTGTTATGTTCTCCACAGTTTATTGTATCCCCGAGTAATCGTGCTATGTTCTCCACAATTTATTGTATCTCCGTGTAATCGTGCTTTGTTATCCACAGTGTATTGTACCCCCGTGTATTGTATCCCCGTGTAATCGTGCTATGTTCTCCACAGATTATTGTATCCCCGTGTAATCGTGATTTGTTCTCCACAGTTTATTGAATGAAAAAGCCGTCATGATAGAATACATCACGCATTTATTTTTTATAACAGGTGAGACTTTTTACCTGCCAGGTGTGAGGGATGCTTTGTTGCAGTCAATACATTTGTACGTTAATGCTAGGCGGTGTTGAATGTAATGTACGCGGTTTGTCAGTCTCAGAGATAGGGGATGCTCCGAGTTTGATATGTCGGGGTGGTAGTCCACGTCCACCGGAGCCTCCTCCCACAAAACACCTGGCACACTCGTTACTTACCGTCTCTGAGGTCGGTAGCTGTTTATCGCCCCTACCTTAGCGGAAGGACAGGTATAACGACTCTGGGTATACCGCATATAGTCAGTGTTCACGACGGACAAGACACATTTCGTTAATTGGAATATATCCGAAGACGTAATTCTTAATCAAATTCATTGGAATTGTGATATATATTTTCATATTCCTGGACCGGTCTTTGGATAAGGATATTTGCCGTGATTAATTTCGCCACAGGTAAGTTTTGTGTGTATTCTATTATACAGGTCCTTGTGTATGATTAACCGACCACTTATGCAATGTTGTTGTAAGCTATGTAAATATAGATCATATGTACTAGGATATACGCGTACACTTTAATTAACATATATTTTTATACGTGGGAAAAATGTAATCATTGAATGTTCCAAATGCACGAAAGTAACCTCGGGGTTACGGAGATGCGGATACTCTATAAGTAATCACAACTGGATCCCACGTGAACTAAAACATTGAACACTAATTAATATCAAATATATTTATTGTACCCCTCTGTAGTCTCGCTCAAATGCAATTTGTCTTCCACTTAGCCCCGCCCCTTGGCCGAGGCGTCTAGAGTCCCTGCCCTGGGGACTTTTGCACTTAAACAAATCATGTCGCTGGGATTAGGTCGCCTATCTAGAAGAAATAGTGAAAATGTGTGTTGGGACGGAAATCTTTATCTATTGTACTAGGTTCCGTTCGTGTTGTAATTGTGACAGGGATCTTGTAGTCGTCTATATACGTACACTGTACATATACGTGTAGATGTAGCAGGGTCACTCTAGTGTCGAGGAGTGTCCGGTATCGATTTATCTCACAACATTTTGTAAACCTATGTTTTTATGTATACAGATTCCGTTCAAAATTTACGAGTGTTTATATTACATATAATTATAATGTTTGTGAATATGTATATATATGTTACTATTGATTTGGTTTAAAGTCTACGAGTATATATAAACCACACACGTACCTCCTGTTGAGTGTAATACGGTACGTATTTTGACGACAGTTAAAATTGAAACCGATTGAAATGTCTCCTTTTCAGAAAAAGACAGATATATATGGTTCCCATTATAATTTAGAAGCTTTCCTCCATATTGAAATACTAGTAAATGTATACATATCATATGTCGTTGGGCTAGTTCAATATAGTTTAATTGATATCCGATTTCATACAAACTATCGTCTATACCAATCCCGTCTAATGCATATTGTGGAAGCCCACCACGTGTACCTTTGTACGTACCGACCTGTGTGTATGCACCTTAGGTCGGCATGGGCTAATCAACGATCACTAGGATTAAAACATCTATTTGGGCATGACCCGTGAAGCATATAGGATATGACACAGATTGTGTTTTTTAAATGAGCACTGACTTTCCACATAATACACCATTATATACCATTTTCTGCAATTTACAAAATATACCATAAAATACCACACCAGGCACATACACACCAACATCAACAAAATATACCATACTCAGGAATATATATCCCGACACCAACACAAAATACAATACCCAGCAATTTACAAAATATACCATAACATACCACACCAGGCACATATACCCCCATATTAAAAAAATATACCATACTCAGGAATATATATCCCGACACCAACACAATATACAATACCCAGCAATTTACAAAACATCTACCAAATATACCATACTCTTTAATATTACACCACGACATCAACACAATATACCACATCAGAAAAGCTGGCTGTCCGCAATGAATGACCTTAACAGACATCCTTCACCACCGGTTATGTTTATTGTTTTATAGAGTTGAGAACACTGAACAACTTCCAGACACTAGAGTATGGAGATGGTCATTACATCAGTGTCAAGCGGTCAAGAGATCGAACCCCTCACCCCCACCCCATCCTTTAATTTTCGAGCCATTGTTGAAATCTGGGATAATTAGTTGTATTTGAATGACCAATTTGCTTTATTCATCAACGTATCGATTTGAAGGAACAGCACATCGCGATAAGATACTAGAACAGACGACCATACGAATCGCCAACACTACTGAGACAACACACGTTCACAAAGGACAGACCAGAAGGTCAATTTGACGAGCAGGACAAAAATCCGGCCACTTTATTGGCGCCCTCGATTTATCGTTAGCATCCACTCCAACCTTCACACTGGTAATGAGCCCTAATTTCCCATCACTGTTTATCTGTACGACATTACAGATCGTCTGCATTTGTAACACTCCAGGGTACACATCACACTTTTTAACCAGTAATCTCTGTTGACTTTTTGGATAACACTTGACAGCAGAAATCTGACATTGGAAACGGGATGTGACCGATATCAGGCAAACTGTCGGGTGGTAGCGAACCGGAGTTCTGGAACACTATAAGGTAGACATTTGGGTCTGGTTTCGTTTCACACGATCGAAAATGGGCAAACGCACAAAACATGTACATGTAGAAAACGGGTAGAAAAACAAATGAATAGTAAGTAAAGTAAAGAATTTTAATAAATTAAACTAATTACGGGAAACAATAACAGGGTAACAATAATGTACAACCATACAAAAGTAGATACTGTATAATACAGGTAACAGTTGATAAGTTAAGCATGTGCAATGTTGGTTACAATGGTCGAAGGTAAAGCATTGCTACTGATAGTTCTAGTAATAGTGACACGAACGGTTGTAGACAACATGCACTAAAATACGACCTGACATCATGTAGCTATTTGGTGTGTATAGGTGTTCTGACCTTTACAGGCCTGCTGATTACATTAATATTTCGTGACTGGTTTAAACAATTTTTCATAAAGCTCCGCCTACAATAGGCTCTAAATGCTCTAAATGGAAATCAACATAGCAGTAAAAAAAGGTATAATTATAATAGAATTTAGCACATAAGCCTTTGTGATACACTATGACTGTACACGTCAAGCACACGTTCTGTGTAAGACGACTGAGAACTGTGGTCCAACACTTGACCAGACAATATCAATAAGGATAGTGTATGTTTAGCACGAGAGGACGGATATTGATGTCAAGGAAGGGGGTTATATTAATACAAGAAAAAGCAGGATATGTTGATGCCAAATGGCGGGATATATTGACGCCGAAAATGCTAAGGCAGGATATATTTAGGCAAGAAAAAATGGGAAATGCGTATTGAATCCAAACAATGTGTAATTTGTTGATGCAAAAGAAGGTGACGCTTCTTGATGCTAAAGAAAGCAGGTAATATTTTTGCAAAGAGCAGCCATGCACATTAATGCCAAAGATGTCAACATACACATTGGCGGCAGTGAACTTTGGCGTCAAAGATAACATTGAACAATGGCGCCAAAAATGGCAATGCAAAATGGCGACAAAGAAGGCAATGAACAATGATGCTAAAGATGACACTACGCAATGCGGGTGCCTAAGAAGGCAATGAAGATAACATTGCACAATGGCGCCAAATAAGGCAATGGACATTTGTGTAAAAGATGGCAACGAACAATGGCGCCAAATAAGGCAATGGACATTTGTGTAAAAGATGGCAACAAACCATGGCGCCAAATAAGGCAATGGACATTTGTGTAAAAGATGGCAACAAACCATGGCGCCAAATAAGGCAATGGACATTTGTGTTAAAGATGGCAACGAACAATTGCGCCAAATAAGGCAATGGACATTTGTGTTAAAGATGGCAACGAACAATGGCGCCAAATAAGGCAATGGACATTTGTGTTAAAGATGGCAACGAACAATGGCGCCAAATATAGCAATATACATTGATGGAAAATAAAGTGATGTTAATTGATGCCAAAGAAGGCAAGAGTTTTTTTTATAATTAATGTATTACCGATATATAGTAAAATTGTTGAATGAAAGATCAAGGAACAGATTTTGAAACATGTTATATTTACATTCCTTAATGTATATTACATGTATATGCAGATGGTCTGGTGTATCATACTAGAATGATAAAGACTATTGTTACACCTCAAGTGAATTTCTAGCTATTTGATTGGTTGGGAGAAAATTAAACAAAAATCTCTTTCACCCTCCCAAAATACATTGGTTTTAAGGGGCGCGGGTGATATTGCCATGAGACAGTGAAAAATATCACATGCGCATAAAATGTGCGTGCACCGCTTCGTTTCCCCACCGTGATGGTCACAAGAACGTTTGACGGCAACAGCCAATTTCATCAAGCGCCGGTGCGATAGTGATTGTAAACAGCAGACTATCAACAAACAAGATGTCATTATCGAGGTTTGCTGCCGTTTCTGAGCTACAAAGACTTTTGGTGTAACAAAATAGATATGACATTCATTAGCAGGTGACAGTGAATATTGTCAACCCTCAAAAACCCATTGTCACCCTCGGCTTCGCCTCGGGTGACAATGGTTTTCTCGGGTTGACAATATTCACTGTCACCTGCTAATGAATGTCATATTTATATA